TGATAGTAGTAAATTGGAACTATTCGGCAGATGTTCATCATGAGACGATGTGCATGTAATCAAGTTGAATCTTTAAAATGTATGTTCAAAAGAAAAGGAGAATACTCTGTAACAGTTCAGAAATAACAAAGGGAGAGCACTATACGACTTCTTTATAAAGTAGGAAGAATAGCTTCCCTCTATATTGTAAAGTAAAATACAGAAATATAACAGGGTACACTTTTTTGAACTTCTTTTTGATGATTATGTTGGAATATTTTAATTCTGAAATTTATTCTCTGCAATAGAAAATAAGTGGACAAATATTGAGCTTAGGACTAGAAAACTCGAGATTGTGACAATTTGTCTTTAGTTATTACATGGATTATTATTATTTAAACAGATGCTTTATTTACGGAAAACAACCTTTTTTATTCCTGAAACAATTTTGAATCTGTGCGTGTATTGCCCGTATTTGAACAACATTGCGAATAAGAGAAAATGTATTTGATTGAATAGAAAGTATTCACAATACACTTTCGGTGATATATGCCACTTCGCGACAAACATAAATCAAGTACAACACATTCAGGAACAAGTTCAATGTTGATACTTCACATCAAAGACGCCGCCAAATGATGAGAACAGTTAATCAGCATTGAAAATCGTTCTCTATTACAGTTGAATATCCGAATTACAAATCAATTTTTTCTCAATGCTCTTGGTATGTGCTCTTTGTTTAATAATAAATTTGCATATTTTGGCTAGCCGTACGGGCCCGTACGACTAGCCAAAAGTTCTAGCCGTACGTGACTCATGTACGGCTAGCCAGGACACACTGTATTGGCTAGCCGTACGGCACTTTCCAAAATTATATGGAAGTCGAAAATGCATATGTTATTTTATGACTTTAAGTGAGGATTTTAACCAAGAAACAGCAATTGTCTTCGTTCGATTTTTAATCGCCTTGATGGCTGCAGTAAATAAAGTACGAATATCTATATTTTTCATCTCAAGACGTCGAGAAAAAAGAGCGTTTGGTTGCAGTTGAATAACATCAATTGAAATAGTTAACAAAATTACGATATTAATCCTTTTTTGTTTCAATAAGATTAATTTTCGACACCTTTAAAATGAAAAAAAGCACCAAAAATAATTGTTGTTGTGCTCTGATAATTGCGTCAATTACCGACAGTATAGAAGGTTGTCCATCATTAAGGAAAGTGTGCAAGTTCCGTGAAACACATTCTAAAACCTGGATAGGCTTTAATTAAGGCTAATTAATCGATTGCGCTTTATTTTATATTTTATATATTTATTTATCTACTGTTTTTAAAAATTATACAATTGTTTTTGTTTTTCACCGTTTTTTCTTCTTTCTTTTTTGTCAATGTTCTTTTTATTTATTTATCAATTCCACTCCGATCATGCCGTTATGAAAAAGCTTCTTTTGCCGTTATGATTATTTATTCCATCCATGTGCTTCATTAACAAAAAATGATTTAAAAATTCATCTTTCATACAAATAAAACAACAAGTCATAAGCATGAAAAACAACGACGTTTTAACTTATAACATGCAACTTTGACACTTTTATCAAAATATATAACAACGCTTGTTCGTATTTATATTTTAAACAAAATGGCGGAACATCTTTATTAAAGTGAACACACGAATATAAATGTGGAGACTTAAACACAAAATAACATATGCACTTTCGACTGCTATATAATTTTGAAAAGTGCCGTACGGCTAGACAAAACAGTGCGTCCTGGCTAGTCGTACGTGACTCACGTACGGCTAAAACTTTTGGCTAGGGGCCCGTACGGCTAGCCACTTCCTTGTGAAAAAGTAGAACCTAATGCATAAATTCACAAAGTAATGCCATGTCTGAAATTCTTAAATGTATGTCTGTTGCGACAAAGATTGAAACGTCTGGACGAAGGAAAATAAATCGGATAACACGTAAAATTGAAATGATTGGTATACTTAAAATAAATTCAAGACAATATGTGTCGAGAATATATCCATTTAAATATTGGTACGAAAATTGCATAATGTTCGAATGATTTTGGGGACGATATAAACTGTTCTTATTTAACCAAAACTATGAAAATCAGAATAAACTAGTTGAAAAGAAGATTTAAACAAGTTGAAAGTTGTTAAAAATGTAATAACTGAAAATATGAAAAATAGCCTTAATGATTCTGTGCTATAAAATAATGAATCTAAATAGTAGCAAGTCCTGCTTTAATCTATATTACAAAAAATTAGATCTAATAATTTAAGATGGTTACCACTTAAAACAAAGAAAAGATATTAATTAATCTTATTTTATTCTGTAAAAGGAACTTATAAAAATTACTTACAAATTTATCAAAATATTTCAGTGAATTTAGTTAATCTCTAAGGATTACTAAAGTGCCAAAGTGTCTAAAATAAATTGAATAATTAATTTACCTGAGAGTGCTTTTAAAGATGTTACGTCTTCAAAAATTAGCTGCAGAATGTCAAAATTCATTTAGATTCCTGGTTAAATGAACTTCTGCATCCCAGAGGGAGCTAGCATCTACCTACAGGTGGCACTGTATGTAACAACTTATCTAATTGGTCAAATTACAGCCAACCAGAATTTACTTAACAAATGCTCTAGGCTTATCAGTTCTTAACATAATAGAAGAAAATTCAAATAAAAGACAATGGAAATTGAGCAGCGTTTAATTATTGCGAATTTTGTTGAACATTTAATGACGGAAACATATACATAGCCATGTAAAATGCCACGACCGTTTCATTTGTTATGTTAATTGTTCATTTTGCCGTGCGCTGTTTCTTCTCCAGGTCACTTTTACTTTATGCTCTTACGAGTTTAGATACACAATTCTACTTGCATTAATTCTATAAGTTTATTTAATAGAATTGTTGATAGGTCATAACTTATTATTAAGTTATTTACTTTTTGTATTGAGTCGCTGTGGTAAGATTATTTTCATTTTATTAATTTTATTGAAATTAATTCTCATTTGCATCGCTCAATTGTTGTATTGTTGTATTTTTTGTATGTTTAAATTACTTTGCATTATAATCATTTATTTATGTTATTTGGCTTTTTCTTCGTATTAGTTCATCAAATTGACGAACCTACGCCAGGAGTTTATCATTAATTCTACCTTGTGACGTATAATAATCAGCTACGTACTGATAGCAGCATACAAATAGACCTTCACACAGCCTCATATCATAAAAAGATACATACACATAGCCGCATAACATATAAATAACATTTACATAGCCACATATAACTAAAAGACACATATAATTTAGATATAAATTCACATATTCACATTTTAATACTTAGATAAGTACGCATTGACAACATACACAAGAAGTATCTTTCAAAAAAAGATACTAAGCCGAACTAAAACTGATTTATTTATATATCGTATCTTAGGAAACACGGTTCCAAATAAAATCATACTGTAAGGATTATGAAAATGAGCATACTATTGAATTTTACGTTTAGATTTTTGAAATATATAATCATATGCATATATTGGCACATACGAAGAATTTAAAAAAGAAACAAAATGTCAAGCCTGAAGTAAATCCGTTAAAAGCAAAGAAGAAGTAAATTAGAACTACAAATAAAACTATTTATTTCGTTCTCATTTGTTTTCGTCTCGATTCGTTTTTACCGTCACGTAATTCTTTTATTTCTATTACTGTGAATGTCATTTTAGCTCAAAGAAAAACATTTCATGTAATTGAAGTTTAATCAAATCGAAATTTTAATAGAATGTTTATATATGGCAACGTTGGTACGAATTACCCCAATCAACAGATTTGCAACACCTGTGGAAATAACGAAAGAACTCTAAAATCCGGAAAAAAAACCAGAAAGAAAGCTTTCTAAATCTAAAAATAGTTTGACAATGATTCATTATAAACAATCCATTCAATCGTTAGCGGTTATATAATTACTTCATTAATATGTAAAATACATGGAAATTATAACTTTTGTATCCATTTCACATAAATAACTGATAATACCGGATAAGTTTGTTTAATTATGTGTTTATCTGATTCTCTATTTTCATGCGCATTTGTAAGCCGGATCGCGGACGTTATTGTAAGTGGTGGTTTCGTTAATATAACTCCTTCAAGCAGCGTCATAAACGTACATGAGAAAATAGAACTTATAATGTCTATGAAAAGGCATGGTTAAACAGAACTTTAGCATTTGAAATCTAACTTGATAGTAATGTAGATAGTTCGTTTCCAGAACTCCTTTAGATCAATTAAAAAATAGACGCGTATACCATGTCAGAACAATCCTACTTCACTGATTTAAAAATTACCAGATTACGAGATTTAATATTGTAATTTTAAAATAACCAATAGAAAATTTACATATATTCAGTCATTTCCTGTAAATTTTACAGGTAGTCAAACTAAAAACAAACCGGCCTCAGGTCAGAAAAAAAATGAAAATGTCGTCCGGTTTTTTCTTCGTCAAATTGAGACACTCAATATCTTTCTTTTCATGACTCTGTAAATAGCAAGCAACTGGCTGCGTTGAATATATTTCAGGGAAAGTTTAAACACAAACCTTTTCTTCCACTTAATAATATATAAAATTATTTTATCTAAACTACGAGACTGGCAACTGTGTTCACTTGTGGATGCGTTTGCATGAGTTATTAGCCCTGTCCTGTATAGGTTCGAATCCATGATTCGTAGTAAGAGAATAACATACATAATTACAAAAGCATAACACACACAAACCAAAAAAGCAAAACAGGCCGCAAATTCCTTTCGGATAAATTACTCTAAATCACACAATATTATTGTAAAAGGCAATTTGCATATTATATCCTATATTGTAATGAAGATAATCAAATCTAATCAACTCATTTAGTGCAATCACAGTGGAAATTTATCTAATATGTTAAATTACTGCCCTTAGGAATTACTTCAATACAGTGTCAAATTATTTTTGCGAGCGTTTCACATTCTATAAACTAGCATGTTTCTAAATGGTATCGAAAAAGTTCTTTTATTAGATCTGTACATTGCCGATAACATTTGACATGTTGACGGGTAATGAACTGATACTTTACAATAAATATAAGGTTGATCTACAAAAATGGAACGCGATATTTGTAGAATCTTTGAAGTGTTTTAACACATCACAAATTTCACTTCACGAGCCGATTTTGAATGTAATTTCCAGACTGATCAAGTTGGAATGGACATAGAATAACTCTTGTATAGTGCTCTTATCATAAGTGTTCACAAAAACAATGGATACTCTTGTAAAATTTACACAAGAAACAACATTTCATGGGGTTCGTTATTTAACTCCCTCCAACTCCAACTTCCGAAGGTAAGTGATCAGAACATTTGTATTTTATTAAACACTTGAGATTATAATATTATAAGCAATAAAGTTATATTTAGATTGAAAAAGAATAGTACAACAAAGGCTTTTTTTAATATTTATAAAATTGTTAAGAAATAACGCATATATTGGCTTTTGAATTAAAAAGTCACTCTACCAGTAATACATATATATTTATATACACGTATTCATACAAAAATAATCCAGATAAATGTACCGCTGATGTATATTTGAAGTATTGATAACCTGTGAAAGAAATCGACACCTTTATTTCCGATCTTTCATTATAAATCTGATCATATCACAGGATTATTTTGATATACATCTACATGAATTTATGTTCTGAGCTCGTCCTAATAATGTTGATAGCAATAATCAAAACTGATATTTGTAGTTTGTGAACTATAGTGCCAGAAACGGTATGTATCTATGAGTTTCTGACATCAATTGAAATGTAGATCGTCAAATATTTTGTTGGAAAATCGTAATTTCTGGAGAGAAAAAAACAGAACCATATATCATTTGCATTGTGTACGTTATAGGATACACAAACTTACTTAGTTTTTTTATCACAGTGAAATAAAGGTAATTGCATTGTATAATACTAAAAATGATATTTCACTGTGAAATATTGGTACATACACAGTTTAATAGTTCTTCACAAACAGAAAACACCGTGTTTTACATTAAATAGACGGATTTTACCAACGGCTAAGAAATGGAATGGGTAATATTTTATATTTGTTTGGGTCGTTAGACCAAACAAATAATGGTAGCAAAATTTCAGACTCTGATGCTGTTAATTGCAAATGCCGAAAGTAGTCCGCTTTTTGAAGCGGTTACTTCCCTTTATATGTACACTAACGCCGCAAAATTCAGGGGAAATCACTGCGTAAAGATAGTCAAATGGCAGGCGCATTGATTTTAAAGCAAAATAGTTCCAGGATGGTCGAGGAAAACTAATTCTTTATTCTTTATAGATATACATGCTTATAGTAAGCTCCATGATTATTTACATCTGTGTTAAACAACAGTTAGCGTCGAAATAATAAGGGTTACAAACCCTAATTTAGAATAATATGATTTTCTTCAGGCCGTTGACATATAACTTCACCGTGGCCGAAGGGTTTGCGCGTTCGCTAAGGAAACGAGAGGTCTGTAGTTCAAATCCCCGTTAAGGAAACTCATTTTTACAAATTGGTGGCACTATACAAAAACAAATTGGTTTATAATCTCAAAACCTTCACCTTTCTGACATTCTGAGACCCAAACAAATTCAGCGCCTTCTGTGCTTTGATTTTTAATTGTTATATAGGTTTTAAGGACAGTTCTCCATAAGGTATCAAACTCTCTGAATCCCTTTCCCTCTCCTGAAATTAATTAACAATTGACGATCTTTAAAGATTTTGTTTTTTTCTTATTTCATTTGCATGTTTAAAGAAGGAGCTTTTTATCATTGTGATATCCTTGATCCAAGAGAAACATTCATTTTTGTCGAGATCAACCAAAAACATTGTAGTTTAGAATTCTTTAAATTGTATATGGTCTACAGCAAACTTATGTTGCCGTCGCAGCTATATGTGCAAGAATATGTTAGTAAGGCAATGTTAAACGTAGGAGTATAATATTTAAGCTTTGACAGTATGGGAACCATTCTTCCCAGTATTATAAAAAAAACTCGAAAGAGTAATATTCAATGTTTTAATGTATTGGTCACAGATGATTTAGCGATGTTTGATGCATTCCAAACCTAACAGTTGCGTAATTGTTATTGCATTGTTGTAGACTGCCAGACGACAAAATGAATCAGTATACTTTAATAGAAAATTGATTTGGTTTAAAACAGTTCAGGATAAAATATTAACCCGGTCGTCTCGATAAATGTCATTCCATTTAAAGATTTTACAATGAAAATGCATTACTATAAAACAGGAATTGTTATTATACAATATGTTTAGAATAAACAAGTAATTGTTATGGTGCAATATATGCTTTCCAATTTTATTCAAGCGTTTGAGAGCCTGTCATTTACGTTTATTTTGGATTAATGATTTCTACTGTTTATTGCCTACTCAATTTTCAGCGAAAAGATCGGTTAACAAAATCTGAAAAAATATTATTATTCAATCAATCAAAGGACATATTTGTCAAGACGAACATATTCCAATTGCTTTTCATGTTATCAATTTAAACCATAGTCCATTAATTATCAATGCAGTTCCTCTTTAACTGCTTTAATTTAAAATGTGTCTTAAACCATTAGCAGCATTCTTAATTACTAAATAATTTTATATAGAATCCGACTGTGTTGAAAGCAGGAAAAGTGAAGACATTAATTATTTTGTTTCATTTTCCTGTAAAATCATAGTTACTTGGAACACTTGTGGATCATTTATGTAAACAGTCACCACAAGGGAATCATGTCTGTAAATTCTATGAGTCTGAATTATGTAACAGTGTCAGCCCCACAGACATACAATCTTATATAGAACAAATTTGACATAAATAGATCGTATAATTAGCACTAAAATATGCACTACCTATCAGTATGGCGATGGGTATTCAAAATTTGGACAACAAGCATCTTGAAATTTTTCAACTGATATTAACCAAAGTACTATGTTCTTGTTCAGATTATGAAGAACAGTAATGCAATTATCAAATAAGAGTTAGATAAATTAGCTCACAGTTAATAAAATATCGAATGACCGGGTACCCGCGGACTTATAAATGTGTCGTGTTAAAGATGAAAAGGTATATCTCTGTGTCAATTGACTTGATTAACGACTACTTAACTATAGCATTTTTTTCCGGAACTATATCCGCCATATGACAAGAAGTGATTGTTTACATTTTGCATATACTTTTCGGAATTATATTTTGCAATAATATTACTGTAAATAAAGCGATTGTTTTACTTTTTTCCTTATAGTTCTTCAGCGGCGATATTGCCGTAGTTATGCATTGTATTGACATTTTACGTGGCTATTTTTAACACTTTCTCAATGCATTTATCTTATCTCTATTATATTAGTTCGCCGACAGTTAATGTTGTGTACGATTGTTTGATATCATCATTAATAGCAAGAAATATTATGCATATTAAATGTGTTAATACGAGATATTTTCAGTGTAACTTCAGTGTAAGATACAAAACTATACGATGGCGACGTTAGGTTTACTGTCACTGCAATAAATGGATTTATCTCAATTCGAATAATATAAAAAAATGTTTATCCATCTAAGATTGTGCATTTGATTTTTACAAGAACAATTCACCACAAATTATGCATATTGACTCAAACGCGATTCTTCTTAAGCTGTACGGTTTAACGTCATTATAAGTTCATCAACAATATCGGTAAAGCAGTATTTTACCTTTATATGTAGATTTATTATTATACTACCGCATACTGTAATGCGATACAAAGCAACGTTTAACAACAGCTAAATGCACATCACATCAGCTTATGTGAATATACAAATAGGGATATCCATTGTTAGTCCACAAAGCCACAACGATTTCCAATGTGTGTGTTGTGGTGTGTTTGGTTGTGTTTAATTTCAATCTATAGACTCCTTCGTATCGATATAGAAATAATATTTAATTTTATGCTTTTCAGTGAATTACTGATTTATCCGTGAAAATTATGTTTGATAATTTCACAGTGAAAATTATCAAATATAATTTCACACTTTTCAATAACAAAACTATTTTTTCAAAATTTTCCCCATGTGGTACCTCAATTTTATTTTTGCTGACAGTTCTGACAATGTCAGGCTGTTTAAGAGAAAAGCAAAGATGTAATTGATAAAAAACTTTAATGTCAAAAGTAATAAAAAGAAGAAAAGTTACTTCTATTCATTCATATTACCAATCACCAAATATACTCTTTTAATTTTACAGTCTGAAAAATACATTCCTTCCACATGCAAAACAGCTCTTGGTGACATTTGGGCATATTTGAGTATCCTACGAGCAATAATTGCCGTATGCTTTATGATAACTTAAAAAGCAATGACAGCCATCAGCCCGAAGAATAAATTAACAACCAAGCGTTCGTAAGGCAGCCTTCCAAGTTTTCCAATTTCTTAGCCGCTTTTTGAATTACACATCTTATAACACTTATTTATTGTCTGTTACAATCCTCAAATAAGTTTTCTTTCTTTTAAAAAGGTGTATGGCTAACAAATCAAAATGATATCCCTCTGAATCAAACACAATTATTTTCCTCCCGTGAAATACACAACTTTTAAAAACGGCGCCTCATACATATAACAGAGCCAGGTCTAATATAAATTCGCAGTAAGAAACAGAAATATGGATTAATGGATGGTTGGACTTTTTCTCCTACTAAAATTGTTTGTTTTTATTATTAAAACAAGCGATCATTCATATGTTTTTAATGAAATGAATTATATCACCGCCATTTAACGTTGATTGTCAAACGTATTTTTCAGCCCAAGACTTTCATGTATTAAATGAGAAATTCGACTAAATGAGGCTCTCAATGGGGAAAACAGATTTAAATATTAACGTTAATACTAAGGAAATTTCGTTTTAACTTGTTTTTAAGCATAAAATAAAAAGAAAATTTGTTTGTTTGTGGTGTAAGATGTAATTTTATTTCTTCTCGTGATTTTTAAAAACAGTATTCTCACTCGTGGCTACACCATTCGTGAGAATACTGTTTTTAAAGCCCACTCGATGAAATAAAATTTCATCTTGCACACAAACAAACAATTATCCTCTATATATTAGTTGATATTGCTATAACTACGGACATTCGGTTATTTCTTCTTTTAATTTATTTATAAATTATCATGAATTTCAGGTAAGTTTCTGTTACATCCACCATATGGTTAGATAATTTGTTTTCTATTCGATGGTTGGAAATTGCACAATTTTTAATGTAATGTACAAACATTTGTATAATATATATTATATCATGATCTACTACTATAAATATCGATAACGGTAAACT